TCTGAATGGTTTTTATTATGAAACGTGACTTTTGTCCCTCAGACATGACTGTTTGCTGGGTGCCTGTTGGACCAGACTGCTAAGGTACCCGATTGTGACTTTTCTGAGTTTCACGAGTTCGACCTTTTCTTGGCCTGGCATCTGACCCTGAGATCCGAATTTGGGGTCTGAAACGTGGAAGGCCTTTCATATACTGTTTCTGATGTTGCAGACATTGTCTGCTGGATAGAAGAAGAGCACCGTGCTGTCTGCCCAGTGGGTGACACAGTACTGCGCCTGGTGTGAACATTGAAGTCCTGTCTACGGCATTTATGGGAAGACGGCTAGAATTCTAGCCCCCTACACAGAATTACATGCCAGACATGGACTTGCAATCAGACTTGCTTTCTTTTCCACTCTGCACTCATGCAAACAGATGGTGATACACACTGGCGCACAGCACCCACTCAAAGCTCAAAGATATGGAAGTCGAAAACACAGTTCAGATACAAGCTCGCTTCAACAGGCTATGGCGCATCAGCGCCTGTACACTCCAACTCTCGTCTCTCTATCCAACACCACTGCTCGCACTCACTCACTCTGGATCACCCTGGATATCCCACACGCATACACACACTCTCGTACACACACTCTCTCGTACACACACACTCGCCCATCAGCTATGGCGGCTATGGCCGCTGACCCTATATGGCTATGGCTGACTATCTCCTTCAGCCCACTTCGTCTTTGGCCACTCTGCAGACCACCTCGCACAAGTCGCTCAAGCAGCGCTTCCGCGTGGCTTAAGCAGGAATGAATGAATGGCTGGATGCTGCCTCTTGATTTATATTTCTGGAAGTCGCTGGCCTGCCTCTGTCCCCCGGGCCCATAGTGCACACAGTCCCTCATGGTACTTGCTGACTGGACTCAATGAGACTGGGACTGGGTACCGCTGACTCAGCACGGGTGGACTTCACCATTTGCCCACTTGCCTCTAGTCTGCTGTGAGCAACGTTGGAAGGGCCACTTCCGGACCTTCCGGAAGTCTGTGGACTTGGCCCTTCGACACTGTAGCAGCTACGACCTTGACCTTGCAGGACTGTAGCAGCTACGAACTTGACCCTTCGGAAGGGCTACAGGTACGACTTCTATAACTCGCTAAGACCTCTACCCGACAGGTCTACAGATCGAACCCCTACAACCTACGGACCTACGACAGCCTACCAACTGTTGCAAACGCACAGGTCACGGGTTCAACTCTCGGGGTCGACACAGGTACTGTACACAGGCAAGGTAAGAACTAGGGATCGAGCGCTGGGATCTGCATTCGCTACCGCTAACAGGTGAATACCGTTTCAGACTTGAATATTTGTGTGTACGTCTCGCATCGACCAGCTGATTTCAGCGCTGCTACCTTCGCAGATAATTCATGGACCCTATGGGACAATTGGGCTAGGGTGCACACGGTGGGAAATATTAACTCTTTTCTATCACGGGGCGGTAGAATCTCATTCGGTCTGGCTGGTCAATCAGGAACAGAATGTGGGTGTGCACTCACGAGCTCTACAGCCTCTGAAAGGCAAACCGGTTGAACCTCCCTTATCCCCTGTACATGGCCAAGCAGCATCCCATCCCTGTGTAGATCAGACGGATTCTACCACAGACAGTGAGTGAAGGGGGTTCTCCCGAGGATGGTGGCTGTGCCATGCCATTGTGTCTCTACACAGCTACAGTTGGTTAGAATGCACCCAGCATAGTCTCTGCTCCGAACACTATGAAGGGATGGTCACTGCCAACCTCTGTCGCAAAAACTGCGACCCATTGTCTTGTACACATCGCCCCCACCCCCTATTACTTGCCCAGCATGCCATTGTGGCCTTGACATGCCATGCTTAAATAACTGTGAGCGTTGGCCTGCTTTCCTGCTGACATGTCAGCAACATGCCATGTGTCGTCAGTGTTTCCATGAAGCTGTCATAGAAAGTATGTTTCTCTACTGCGTGGACTATCCCCGATGCCATCACCCGCCACATCCTCTCCTCACATGTCCCGCATGCAGTGTTGGGCATACACCTGCTGCAACCGCAGTCGGATCTCCTTCATCCATGCCAGATGAACAACCAACGCAGCAGCCGGAGGAGGAAAATAGACTACCATATGAACCCCCAACAGAGTGCTGCACTGATAGGTTATCACCACCAGGGCGAACTGTCGCGGACCAAATCCTGCAACAGTTAAACACTCTTGCTTTGGACCAGTCCCCTCATCATCTGTCCATGGAGAGGAAATAATGACAGCGGAAACCCAAGAAACTTGCTCAATGCCGCTCTGTGATGGACCACCTGAGATTCGGCTAGCGTGTGATTCGCATGCATTGTGTCGTAAGGATTATGAAGGCATATATGTATGATGACCACAACCTGACATGTCATGTCCAGTTTGTAGACAGGGGCTGGATTGGCAACATGTGTCTGTATTGCATACTAGTGAATACCTTCACCAAGTATGGGCAGAACCAAAGATCAACCAATATAGGATGAGCATATATGCAGCGGAAGTCTGAGATATGGACTGACTCACATAGACTGAACTCACCTAGACATCACTCAACACACAAACAATCGTGAGATGGTGGGGTCTGAAGCCATACATAGACGATGCTTCAGCCCCGTACACCCATACACAGATGAATGGTGGGAGGAGAGACGATGGAGGTGGGAGATACTAGATAGGATAGGGACAGCGCCAGATGTCACCGGAATAGAATCCAAAATGTCACCGATTTAGTAGCCCAAAATGTCACCGAACAAAATCAGAATGTCGTTGACATAAGTCACCAATGTTGGAGGTACAGAATCCTAATGTAACCGATGTCCGATCTGTGATTCCGCCAGGTATCAATCCCAACTATCTCCAATGTCTCAAATCCGGTAAGAATCACATCCTCCTACCACGGAAGTCCAATCACTGATCTCTGTCCAACTCGTATCAATAGTCTGGAGTCTGAAGAAGAAGAAGAAGAAGAAGAAGAAGAAGAAGATGAAGAAGAAGAAGAAGAAGTCTGAAGAAGAAGAAGAAGACCTGAGAGCCGCAGAGCATCGGTGGAGATGGCAAGGAACCCTAGGCCCTACCTGATGATACAAGGTGGCGCCTTGGCTGCTGTAGAAGACATCTGTGCTGCTGGGAGCTATGGCGCTCGCGGTTGCTGTCAGGTAAGTCTCCCTCCTCGCTCTCTCTCTCTCCACAGCCAGCGCTACACCTAGCGCTGCTGTCTAACGCTGCGCTGGAACAGAACTAGCGCAGCGTTCCGCTCCTCAGTGCTGCGGCACTCTCCTCTTCCCTGGAAATGGCTGTTGGCTGGGCCTAAATACCGGTCGGCGGCCAGTTCGGCCTCTGCCTCCCAAGGTGGCCTCCGATCTGAACCGTCGGATCTATCGTCCGATCCGTGGTTCAGATCGGACCGGTTTTCGGGAAAACAGGCTGCCTAAACGGCAGCCTGGTCCAAACGAAAACGCTTGGCCATTTCCCGCCCAGGGCCTGCGGCTGCAGGGCCTGGTCTAGAACCAGTTGCGCAAGGCCAAAGAGGTGGCCTAAAAAGGTCCGGCCTTTGGGCTGGCCTGGCCTGGATTATCGCGTCCAGGCCCTCGGAACCCCTCAGCCTAGTCGTCGGGCCTGAAAGGGCCCGTGTGGAATGCAGTATGTAACAGTCTGTGTTCCTAGCATGTTGGAGCCACGTAGCCTATGACATCTGTCTACGCTGTGCCATTCGATGCAGCAACTGCAACTGCGGGAATTGCATGCGCTGCTTCCACAGTCTACACCTGAACCGTTCCTGTCCGGTCTGTAGAGGTCACCACTTACCATAGGCAATGGCTGCTCCTCAACTCAAAATCTCCTGCATCCCAAGCACTGACTGACCTCTCATGTCATTCTAGAATAGTCTGCTCCAGTGGTGAGTATTGAGAACCCTGTGAAGTTGTCATTCCTCTGTTCTGTTCTTTGCCACTCCACTTCCCTCCTCCACCCGTCTCTCTCCCACCTCTCGCTTCCTACAAAACTCCACCTCGTACCCCTTTCCTTTCTCCCTCCCCTTGTGTAGGACGAAGCATTTGATAAATGCATACGAATGAGCATCATTAAGAGAACAGAGTCTGAAGAAAAGTGTACAGGAGTGTACCCCCACTTCACTCTGCCTCTTGTCATAACGTGCAAGTGTGCCGTTAAGGCACACTGGGATGTGGGCAGCTGGCGCTCAAACGCAATCAACATGGCCAGCCTTGTACGTGGGAGGCATAGTAAAAGGGGAGCTGCAAGAACACATAAAAGGGGTACCCCAAAGAGAACTGAAGTAAAGATACCTAAGAAAGGGATATGATGTATCTGTTGTGCTTCATGTTGCTTGCTATAGAGGTAAACTGTTTCATTGCTGGATTGGCTCATCTCAAGTGTGCTTCATTGTCTGCAATAGAGGTAAAGTTGCGTGGATTTTGGATCTACTGATCTAGGTGGAAGGGGGGCTGTTGTGGTAAAATCTAAAACACAGAGAGAGAGAGAGAGAGAGAGAGAGAGAGAGAGAGAGAGAGAGAGAGAGAGAGAGAGAGAGAGAGAGAGAGAGAGAGAGAGAGAGAGATGGTTTGAATCTGCTCCCCCCTCAACACCTGGAAATTCTACTCTGACAAGCCATTCGGGGGGGTGCAGCGTCTGCAAGGCAGTCCTGGCGCCTTTCCTGAAAGACTGGCCTGATCAGCCTACAGAGACCGGTCATGACCGTCTACTTGTCAGCCCATATGGTCGGCTGCACAACTGTTGGCCCGACTGGTTGGCTCTTATGCAATCCTGCTTATAAGTTATAAATACAATATGAAGGCCATTTCAATTGGGCAGCCAAAAGTCAGAAGTGATGGAACTTGCCAAGGGTGCTACTAAAATACTCTGGCAGAAGTGAGGGAATGTCTTATACTGACCCCCTCCTCCCCCCCACCTGCTCCCCTCTCCCATTCGCCTCCCTTCACTATGGTCAGATTGTTCATGCTTCAGGAAGGTGTGAAAGAGCGGCAACTTTGTGTTTTTTTTCGGAATAATCACTTCAACACCATGTTCAAGGTACGGTTCTCCCTACTTTGAAGCTTTTGACTCTTTTCGAGTCCTTTTTGCAACAATAAAGGGGATGGTTTTCTTTTACTTTTTCGCTTTGCAGATAGAACTCAGGTCTGCATTTCAACAGTTCAGAACTTCAGATGCTTTCACACGTGCCCAAAGTATGGTATGGTTACCCTTTGCACCATTCTGAGCAATTGTATGCCTCTTCAAGTGCATGGGAAGCTGCATAGGATGCAAAGGAGGGTAGGTAGCAAGGGAGGAAGGAGAGAGGAGGGAGGGAAGGTGGGGAGGCAAAGAGGGGGGAGGAAAGGGACTGGGAGGAAGAGCAGGAAGGACATCAAACATAACATTTGCGCCATGTTGTGATTCACACCATTGACCGCCTTTTAAAGCGAAGGGAGGGATACCTGTCAGACGGTTAAGAGAGTACTACCTTCTTCCCTTGAACACAGCATCCAGTCATCGTGAATGACTATGACCTGCGTTCCTGGCTAGATGCAGTCATAACGGATCTCTTGCTGACATTTGGGTTCAAGGCCCAAACACTTTCTTTTAGACTACCCTCGCCCAGACCCCCGAAAAATGCTGTGTGACGTATATTCCCGTTTTTCCCAACACTGAGAAAGGTAGTGGTGGTTTAAGAAGATCTTTGGCTTTTGTAACTTTTGTCATAAATGGCATGAGAAAAAATATTTAAAAAAATAAAACACTGAGATGTCAAGCCTCTGTTAACGACCTCTCCTCGATCTGGAAGGAGTCCGATGGACCAAGGAGCAAATTGTTACTGTTTTAGAATCTTCGTGAGACGTGGCATGTTATGAGGTGCGGTAGTACGTTCCAAGGGTTGGGCTGTTCGCCCATGAATGGGTTCAGAACGTCGTGAGACAGTTCGGTCCATATCCGGTGTGGGCGTGAGAGCATTGAGAGGACCCTTCCCTAGTACGAGAGGACCGGGAAGGACGTACAGCTGATGCACCAGTCATCAACTTATCAAAGTTATCGTAGCTTTTTAAATCAGTTTTCATGGCCAGTTAGTTTCCTTGTTCTTATCCATATATTTTGCCGCAAGTTGCAAGCTTATAGGCCTGATGGGGGAGAAGTGTAGATTTCCAGAACGCTCTACGTAGGGATATGAAGTACATGCGCAGCACCAGTCAACGGGTGTGTTGTGTTCTAGTTGCCATGTTGCAATTTCTCTTGTAGTGATTGGAAGCACTGACTGCAGTGCTTTTACGTTTGTATGCTGTGTTTTCGACTGTCTGCCACGGTGCATTTCACTGGTATGTGGTTAGCGAGTTTTCCAGTCTCAGGGCGTACTCACGCTGGGACGTTTTCGAGTTGAGTCTGGAGTCTGGACACGATTACAGTCAGATTCACTCAGGTCGGGTCGTAGTTGCGGTCAGTTAGATGTAGGAAAGTGCTAATGTGAGTATACTATGCCGTTGATATCCTTGCTTTTGCCTGCTGTTTTTGAATCAACTGAGCAAAAGTCGCTGGATCCTTGATGGATTTGGTGTTCATGCAGTGCATGTCGTTTCTTTTCTGAGTGTCTCCCTTTTTACCTCCATGATTCTTGCAGTACAATGGGCAGCTCTACATCCTTGCGACCGATCAAGGTTATCTCAATCAGGCAAACCTTGTTTGGGAGAAACTAAGCGAGGTAATGCTCACTGCTCCACCCCACCTTCCCCCCCTTGTCCACTCTTTTTCTCTCCAACCTCTCTCTTCCTTCCTTCCCTCTCTCTCTCTCTCTCTCTCTCTCTCTCTCTCTCTCTCTCTCTCTCTCTCTCTCTCTCTCTCTCTCTCTCTCTCTCTCTCTTCCATATACCGTTAGAGAGACATTGGTGATTGCTGCCTCCAACTTTGGGTCAATGCAATTTGACTTGAATGAACAGCAAAGTGACAACCAACAAAATGCCTATATGTTTTTGACTTTAAATGTTGTTATTTGGTTTTTCGTCGGCTGGAATCTCTCCTTAAAGTTTAAACTTTAAAGGTCTGAAAAGATGGAGGACTTTGTACCATCAAGTCGCCTGCTCACTGCATAGTGGAATTTTTGGATCAACTTCCCAAATGAGGGTTATTGATTACATCAACCCCATCAACCCCAAAAACTCCTAATCTCCTAAATACTAAAGTTTACTGGCCACGGATCACATTGCGACGGCCTTTGGTAGCCCCCCGTGCGCAGTTCTCGTGAATTTTCTAGCGCTTGGATTTCGATATCAGCAGCCTATGTTTGCTCTCATGGCAAACTTTCACCAGTGCAGATGGCCGCCATGTGGTCGTTTTGCTGCTGTTTCTGCCGACCATGCAATGGAATGATGTGGGCCATCGATGTGAAAAATACTCCTTCTGACACGCAGCTATTTCATATCACGCATTCCATTTCAGGGTTTTCATCTGTTCGATGAGGAAAAGCAGCAGGGAAAAACGAAGCACAAATTGTGGATGGGGTGGCAGATTTTGTCTTCCTTCGGACACTCTGCAATTGACAGCGTAACAGCTTTGGTTTTCGCGTCAGGGAGACATTCTTTTTTGTTTTCCTTCGTCAGGCATATCGGTGTTCGATTTTGTGTCAGGGGGGATGTTCTTTTGTGTTTCCCTCCTTTTCTTTTCTTTTTTTGGTAAATTACTAAATTTAGTTTCCTTTTCTTTTCTTTTTTTTTGCCATTGAAAATTGTGGTGATGCTTTTCGTTTTGTTTATTGGTTTTCAGACTTCTCTTCTTTTTTTTTGTAGCTTCGGTCTCATTCATGGCTTGGTCACATGTCAGACCAAACCCGACGCTGCTTCTGAAGCTGCCCTCAGAGGCCGCTCAAAAACCGACCAAAACGAAAGAAAGAAAAAAAAAAAACAAAGACTAACCAAGTCCGTGCAGCTTGGACCAAAACTACCTGGGACCCGTCAGTTTTCAATGATGATACTCCAAGGCCTCCACCCTCCAAGAGGACAAAAGAAAAAAAAAGGAAAGAGTGTCTACGCATTGGGGCCTGCAAGCGCGTGCAACTCATACCCAGCAAAAATAAATGAGCAGACCGAGTGACGTGACGCAGACCTCCGTTCATACTCGCCTTGCCCAGGCATAGCGTTCTCCTCCACTTCCACCTGGCATGCTTATTCATTCCGTTAGCTCCCTCGTCCCTTACTTCAGCCTCTACTGCTTGCAGATGATTGGGTGCCAGCTGGCTCATGCCGGAACTTGTTGTGGGAGACCTCATACATCCTTGCTGGTAGGTATTACAGGAGGGGTGATCCCTAAACATTTTCGCCGTCACCGCTAAACCCACTCATCAGAGGGGTTTATTATTCACCTGCAATCAAGCCGACACACTATGACATGCAAGACATACAGCCATGGCCACACACACGCAGGGGCCAACGATGTAGTGTTACACCTCTTCCTCCTCGTCGAACTCCGGCGACATCTTCTGAGGTGGTATATGAATGTCCATTCTCACGGCTCACTCTCGAAAAACAGCACAACTCCCAGAACCTTCTCGTGTCTCATTCAGTTCCGAAATCCTTGCAAACTGATGTGTTGTCTATAGGGTCCGATAGGGGAACTATATAGTACAGTGGTTGTAGTAGTCGAGAAGTAGCAGTGCTACACACGGTTCGTTGGTTGGGGGCCAATGTCCTCGTCTGGGTGCGGGGATTCGACGTTCCCGAGAGTTTCATCTCAAGTTTGTTTCCCATGTTCCTTCCAGTGGGTTACTTACCTTCCCGGCGGTACCGATTGGATACATACATTAGATGGTGCAGATTCCCAGGGGTTCTGGTACCTGGGTTCGTCAAGGTTCCGTGTTCAAATCCTGTTTTTGTAGTTCGATTGCCCTTGGGCAACAGGCTTGTCCGGGCCATTCCAGGCGCTAGGTCTGGATCCCTTTTTCCACTAAGGTTCAGGCCAGGTTTCATCTGTCCTTCCTACTTAGGTCCAGGTATTGAGTCCCTGTCGTTTCAATTTTTGTGATCCATTCCCAGTTGTTGGTTCCACTTCTGTTCAGCCCAACATCCTACCTCGGCACTTTTCTTTGTCGCCCACTCCAGTACCTTCCGCTTGTCGCTTGCCTGGGTCCATGTGCCTCTGAGGTCTTTTGCCTGCTACCCCATTCCGCAGGAGGATTTCTCCACTGCCTCTTGGCTGCCTCTTATCATCTGATTTTATTCCTGTAATTCTGTATGTGGAGGGTGTGTGTTCCGCTGCAGCACAAGTTAGTTGTGCTGCAGCAGAACACGTGTGTGTGTGAGAGAGAGAGGGTGTGTGCATATGCACGCCATGGCACAAACTCTGTGCCAGGTGGAGCTCCAACGTGAATATCGGCACACCATGAGATCGCTGGCAGGTGTGGCAAAGTCTGTCGACAATATGGACCTTGTGCTATGCGGTGCAGCCGAGGCTTTTTGTGAGCACATCGCATTACCATGGAAAGGGAGCGGTCGGTGGGCAGTGTGAATGAGTAAAAGCAGTAGGACAACACATAGGTTGGAGGGGACAAGGGAGGTGGCACAAGACAGCAAAGGAAAAGGCAGGGAGCCAAAATGATTGTGTGTGCGTGTGTGTTTGTGACTGTGTGTTTGTTCTGCTACAGCATAAGCTAGTTGTGGTGCAGCAGAACACGTAGCACGTGTGTGTGTATGACTGTGTCACTGTGTGTGAGTGTGTGTGTGTGTGTGACTGTGTGTGTGACTAACTCTGTCCAGTGTTTGTTATCTGCAGCACAGGTTAGCTGTGTTGCAGCAGAACATGTGTGACTGTGTGTGTGCCCTGCTGCAGCACAAGCTAGCTGTGCCAGCAAAAGTTTGTTGTAGGAGAGGGTGGGTGTTGGGAGTGGGGGGTGCTGGTGCTGGTCGGAACTTACAGGGGTGTTGCAGTGTCGTGCATTGCTCATATTCATCATTTCTTAGCACAGAACTGCCAAGCAGTGATGGGCAATGGCGCGCGAAGGGCCCAAACCCCTAAACCTTAAAGGGAAAAACAAAAACAAAGAATGTACTCTCACGCGAGTTTATGAGTACGTACTTGTACTCCCGACTATGTACTCGTGTGCACCCATACACGTATGGGTGCTATGCAGGGAAAAAGAAAAAGGAGAAAAAAGAAAGAAAAGTTTGCCGTATCAAGAGTAAAGCCGATTCTCTCTGTCTTTTCCTCTCTCCCCTTCCCTCTCCCCTTTCCCCCCCCCACACTTTTATGGTGTGGATACATGCTTGCCGGTGATAAGCAACCAGACATGCCCCCCAGAATAGAAGTGGCTGTGTTTTGTTGTTGGGGGGGGGGGGGGAATATAAAAAAAATCAAACTGGTGATTCCGTTTAGTGATTCAGAATGGCTCATCCAGTGCTTATAAACACAGTGTTTCGTTCCCATGACTCGAGGCTCATGGTATGTGTGTTGTTCAGGTTGATGGGGACACTCAATTTGCGACAGGGACGTTTGACGTCTTCAAGACAGATGCGAACTGGGCAGCTGCAGTAAGCCTCTCTCTCTCTCTCTCTCTCTCTCTCTCTCTCTCTCTCTCTCTCTCTCTCTCTCTCTCTCTCTCTCTCT